AATTAAATTAAAAAAATAAAAAAATAAATAAAAATAAATAAAAAATAAAAAAAATAAAAAAAAAATAAATAAAATAAAATAAAAATAAAATAAAATAAATAAAATAAAATAAAAAAATAAAAAAATTAATTTTTAAAAAAATATTAAGAAACTAAAAAATTAAAAACTAGAAACTCATACCCAGGCAATAATCAGGTCCTAAAATTTAAGCCTAAGAGTTAATATTATTAAAATCTAAGAATTAGCAAAAAATTAAAAATTTAAACTCCAACAATGTCTAGGCTCTAAAAGTTAATATAATATAAGTCTAAGAGCTATTATTATTAAGATCTAAGAATTTAGAAACTTAAACCTGATAATAACTAGGTTCTAAGAGTTAATATAATTTAAAAGCCAATTTTATTGAGGTATAAAAATTAGTAAAAAATTAAAAACTTGAAATTGGGCAATAACCGTATCATAAGAGCTAATAATGTTAAGGTCTAAGAGTTAATAACATTAAGGTCTAAAAATTAGCAAAAAATTAGAAACTTGAACCCAGACATGATCAAATTTTAAAAGCTAATAATATTAAGGGCTAAGAATTAGCAAAAAAATTAGAAACTTGAACTCAGCCAATGACCAGGTTCTAGGAGTTAATATAATTTAAAAGCCAATTTATTAAGACTAAGAATTAGCAAAAAATTAGAAGCTCGAACCCGGTCAAGGATCAGGTTTTAAGAGCTAATAATGTTGAGGTTTAAGAGTTAATAATATTAAGACCTAAAAATTAGCAAAAAATTAAAAATTTGAACTTGAGGCAATACCTGAGGTTTAAAAACTAATAATATTGAGGTCTAAAAATTTCTAAAAATTAGCAAAAAATTAGAAACTTGAACCTGGTCAAGAACTGGGTTTTAAAAGCTAATTTGTTGAGTTCTAAGAATTAGCAAAATATTAGAAACTCAAAACTGGGTCCTAAGAGCTAATGTTATTGAGACAAAAAGAATTAGAGAAAATTAAAATTTAGATATTGTTGAGATCTAAGAATTAGCAAAAAATTAGAAACTTGAACCTAGTCAAGAACCAGGTCTTAAAAGCTAATAACATTGAAGCCTAAGAGTTAATAATATTGAGATCTATGAATTAATAACATTGAGGTCTAAAAATTAGCTAAAAATTAGAAAATCAAACCTGGTCACTGATCATGTCTTAAGAGCTAATATTATAATATTGAGGCCTAAGAGTTAATAATATTGAGGCCTAAGAATTAGCAAAAAATTAAAAACTCAAACCACCGACCAGATCTTATAAACTAGTCCACCCTCTACTATTTGGCAAATGTCTGTTACTAATTAATTTTGCTGACATTTTTATTAAAAGATACCTGTGAATCAGGTATTTTTAATAAAAATGTCAGTAAATTAAATTAGTGACAGACAACTGCAAAATGGTAAATAAAAAAAAAAAATAAAAAAGTAAAGTTTTTTTCAAAAAAAAAGAAAAAAAGAGAGAAGAAAAAAAGGGTGAGAAAGAAAAAAAAGAAAGAGAAAGAAAGAGAAGAGAAAAGAAAAGAGAAAAGATAGATAGAAAGAGAGAAGAGTAAAAAAGGGAAAGAGGAAAGAAAAGGGAAGAAAAAGAAAGAAAGGGGGGGAAGAGAAAAAAAGAAAAAGGAAGAGGAAGGAAAGAAAAAGGAAAGGAGAAAGAAAAAAGAGAAGAGGAGAAGAGAGGAGAAAAAGAAAGAAAGAGGAAGAGAAGGAGAAAAAAGGGGAAGAGAGGAGAAGGAGAAAGAAGAAATGGATGAAAGATGGAAGAAGGAAAGAAAGAGTGTGTAACCAAATTCAGGTTTTTTAAATCCAATTCAGGTTCTTTTGATGTGATTTTGAGTTCATTTAAACCCAATTCGGGTTCGTTAAACACACATCAGGTTCATTGAACCCATTTGGGTTTGTTGAACCCAATTTGGGTTTTTTGAATACACATCAGGTTCGTTGAACCCACATCAGGTTAATTTGACCTACTACAAGTTTATTTGAACCCACTTCAGAGCTATTTAAACCAAAATTGGGCTTAATTACAAAAAATCCAAACTCAAATAAAGCTAAGTTTTAAAAGCTAATTTAATTTAAACCTGAGAATTGGAAAAAAATTAGAAGCTCAAGCCCAGGCAATGACCAGGTTCTAAGAGCTAATAATATTGAGACCTCAGAATTAGCAAACAATTAAAATTTGAACTTGAGGCAATATCCAAATCTTAAAAACTAATAATATTGAGGTCTAAAAATTAGCAAAAAATTAGAAACTTGAACCCGGGCAATGACCAGGTTTTAAGAGCTAATATAATTTAAACCTAAGAATTAGCAAAATATTGAAACCTCAAATCTGAGCAATAACCGGGCCCTAAGATCTAATAATATAAAGGCCTAAGAATTAATAATGTTAAAACCTAAGAATTAGCAAAGAATTAGAAACTCGAACCTGGTCAAGGCCCGGGTCTTAAGAGCTAATACTATAACATTGATATTTAAGAATTAGCAGAACATTAAAAACTCAAACTTCGGCAATGACTAGGTAAGAGCTAATAATATTAAGGTCTAAGAATTAATAATGTTGAGGCTTAAGAATTAGCAAAAAATTAAAAACTTGAACCCAGTCAAGGACTGGGTCTTAAAAGCTAATATTGTTAGAACAGAAAGAATTAGAAATTTTGATATTATTAAGGTCTAAGAATTAGCAAAAAATTAGAAATTTGAACTTGGGCAATGCTGGGTTCTAAGAGCTAATAATATTAAGATCTAAGAATTAATAACATTGAGGCCTAAGAATTAGCAAAAAATTAGAAACTCGAACCCGGTCAAGGATCGGGTCTTAAGAGCTAATATAATTTAGACCTAAGAATTAGCAAAATATTAGAATTTCAAACCTGAGCAATAACTGGGTTACAAGATCTAATACTATTAAAGCCTAAGAATTAGCAAAAAATTAAAAACTTGAACTCAATCAAGAACCAGGTCTTAAAAGCTAGTCTACCCTCTACTATTTGGCAATTCCAGTCACTAATTAATTTTGCTGACATTTTAACTTTTTTTGTCTGTGAAGCAGGCAAAAAAAGACTAAAACGTTAGTAAAAAAAATTAGTGATACAAAATAGCCAAATAGTAGATAGAGTTAAGCGAAGTTGTAAATAAGCGAAGATAAAAGATTAAATTTTTAATAAAAGAAAAGAGACAGAGGGAAAGAGAGAGAGTGGGTGGGGAAAGTGTAAGGAGAGAGTGAGAGTGAAGTGGGGTGATGTAGAATGAAAAGAAAAAATAAGAAAAAAAAAAGAATGAGAGATGAGAAAAGACAAAAGAAAAATCAAAGAGCAATAAAAAATTGAAACTTAGCTAATGAAGTTATGTAATTTCGGATTTCGCATTTCTGCGAAATTTGAAAAGTTTCAACTCTGCTAAAACGGAGTTTGAAGCTCCGACAAAGTGACAAAGCCATGTGACTTACAAGAATTTGAATTCCTACAAAATTAACAAATTCAAACTTCACCTAATTGGAGTTTGAAATTTTGAAAAAAAATTAAAAAAATTAAAAAAAATTAAAAAAAATTAAAAAAAATA